CGTCTGCACGGGAAGTAAGCTTCCTTGTATATTCATTTCCTACACCACACAGGGCAGACTTTTTGCCAGCATCATTTTTTGGGGGGATAAAATGGAGGAGCTTCTTGTTCATTTATACCACCTCCAACTTTTTGCCTGGATGTCTACTTTCATTCACACTGACCTACCCCACACACTGACTACACCAGACACTATCTAAACAGCAAAGTAGCTATTCCATACGCTGTCCCACTACTCCAAACACTGTCTAAACAGCAAAGTAGTTACTCCAAATGCTGCCTACAACACATATTACCTACCTCACACGTTCTATAATCCACACATTACCTACTACACACATCTTAAACACCCCACTAAAAAAACCTAAACATATTTAACGCAAGTTGTGTTACTGGCACACACATCATCTACCCACCCTCCTCTTCCTGCAACATCCCCATTTGGTGCAAAAACCACACGTGAACTCCCTCAGACATCCACTGGTCACAACAAGTGCCTGATAATATTGAAGAAAACTTGGAATGCTTTGTCCATGTGCGACCGATGGACTAGTCAGATAATACATACAGAAAACATACACATCAAACAGAAGACTGTCACATATACCAGATAGTTAGTCGATAGATCATCTACACTGTACATCGAACCATTCAGTCCATAAATACTCAGATTCACTCCTCGGTATATCTATCCCTCCTCCCTGGCGGACCCAGATTTTTTTTCTTCCAAAAATGACCTTGACTCCCAGGTCGATCCAGACTTGAGTGGGTACCGGCTGCAGCCTCAGGAAGTAAAGGCGGCCGGCGTGATGCTGACCACATCACCTATCTTGTGCCGATTGGTCTATAAATATTTAGGTCTAGCCCTATATACCTAAAGGTGTGAGAAAGAGACCTTTACTGGGGTTTTTTTTCTTACTATATCTATCGAACTGCTTGTGATGGCAGATTATAAAGAGTTAATTCATTACTATTCTTTGGATTCTTGTGTAGCCATCTTGTCTCGTTTTACCTCATTCGGGGTGCATTTGTTTTCCAACCTGGACAAGTTACACACTAGACTAGTTCGTTAGTTAATCGACAGATTTTCCCCCACTGGACACGTCCATAAGCACTCAGATCCCATCTTCAGTATCTCCCTCAGCGTGTGGCAACTGATAACACTAGTTCTGTTAGTTAGTTAGTTTGTTAGTTCTGTGTTGGTTTACTATTCTATTTTGGCTACCTGTATAATGTTCATGTTTGGCGACATGGTGACCTGAAGTTCTTGTAGTCTTTTGAGTGTTGCCGATTCAACGTTGTCTCCTGAATCATATTCTCGTCCTGCCTCCCTGAGAATGTCAGACCGGTCCCCTGCTTTACCTGTACCTATCGTGGCCCTGCTAATCCGCTCATACATTCCCTCTTACCCCTGAGTGTATTGTAAGCTGGCAGATAATGATGAGTTTGTAATGCTAACCCAACTATGTGACATAGGAATGAAGCTTGGCCAAGCAAGCCTCCTTGAGAATGTCAGACCAGTCCCCTGCTTTACATGTACCTATCGTGGCCCTATCAATCCGCTCGTTCATTCCCTCTTACCCCTGAGTGTACTGTAGACTGGCAGATGATGATGATGATGATGTCTGCAATGCTAACCCAACTATGTGACCTGGGAATGAAGCTTGGCCAAGCACGTCTATGCTGCCCTCAAGGTTAGGACATGTTATAAGCAGCATTCCATGAGGTTATGGGTTAGAGGTAACTTGATCGACTGCTGCTTCAGTTTACATTCTTCGTGCCAAACAAGAACAGACCCGCTTGTCTCCCCATCAAACATGCCATAAGAGTCCACTAACTGGGGGCTTCCCTCTAAGTCGATGTGCAACTGCCTGAGAGGTAAGGAACCAACAGCCTGCATTCAAATAAGCCAGATAAGTAAAATGGATGTGCACATAACACTCAGGTTCTGAACGAGACGAGAGATGGACAAACAGCCTCCCGGTGGGTTCTGAGGCCCCATTGTGGGGGAAAACAAGAATAGACCCACTGCCTTCCCAACAATCATGTCGGAGAAGTCGACTAACTGGAAGCTTCCTTCGGAGTTCAGCCAAGAAACAACAATCAACTGAAAACATATAAGCCAGTAAAACGGATGTATACGCAAAACTCGGACCTGGTACAAGGCCTAAGTCTGAATGGACAAATAACCAGCACCTTCTGCTAGAGCTTATGGCTAGTGAACAAAGAAGAAGAAAGACAAACAACTAGACCTTTCTGTCAGAGTTGACAGCCAGGGAACATGAAGAAGAAAGACAAACAACTAGAACTTTCTGTCAGAGTTGACAACCAGGGAACATGAAGAAGAAGGACAAACAACTAGAACTTTCTGTCAGAGTTGACAGCCAGGGAACACGAAGAAGAAAGACAAACAACTAGAACTTTCTGTCAGAGTTGACAGCCAGGGAACATGAAGAAGAAGGACAAACAACTAGAACTTTCTGTCAGAGTTGACAGCCAGGGAACATGAAGAAGAAGGACAAACAACTAGAACTTTCTGTCAGAGTTGACAGCCAGGGAACATGAAGAAGAAGATTGCTGCAATTCAAGGCTAAGCATGCACAGAAATGTGCACTGTGCTTCGTCTTCCTCTTCTTTACGTCCTCTTTTACTGATTTGGATGTCGAGAGAGATAAAAGGTCACTGAAAAATGAATTATCATGTTGAAAATTAATATTTTCTAATAGCCCGTTTGTTTATCTTCAAAATAATAATTCAATTAAAAACACATGTTATAAATTAATTAAACTGTAGTTCAATTTGTGTATAAATCTACTCGATAACAATTGTTACCAACGGCCACGCCAGCCTCACAAAAAACGGGAATTTCCGTTTGAGCTGTAATGCCATATATCTGGAACAGACCGTAAGAGAGCACAACAGACTTCGCAAACACATGTTTAAATTTTCCTTACAGGAAATATGGAAAGGTGTCCTACCAACGTGACACTAGAAAATGCTGAGCAAGTGCTCTAAAACTGTCTGCTATACGCTGCCAACAGAGACTCAAAGACAAAGCTGTATGGTAAACAGGGAAATATGGACTGCACAATAACTTTCATAAGGCTACCGGCCTCCTGATATAAGTTTTCTGACAGAAGGATCAAAGAAGAAGAAGAAGAAGAAGAAGAGGAGGAGAATATCAAAGATATCAATGGAAAGTGTAACTTATTAGAAACCAGCTGTTCATAATAAAATTCCTTTGTCCTGTTCCGTGATTATGCTTAATGCCATCCCACCTCGGCATAATGCTGACCACATTACCCGCAGAGTGCTGATGATGTGTAAAAATATGGGCGCTATTCCCATATACCCGACAAATTCTGGGACAAATTAGTTCAACATTAAGTCTCTGTTCCGTATTTATCTTTTCACATTAAAAAAAAAAAGCAATAATTTTCCCTGGCTTATAATATAACTCTTGCAGTCCCAGGGGGTTTAGCATCAGAGGCCCAAGGGGTAGTCAAAAGAGATGTAAAATCGGCACATCTTGCGTTCATTGGGCCTCTAGACGGGAACCTAGGAATGTATGATGCATTCCTTGGGACTCAAAGAGTTAACAATACATTAAGAAAACCGACACTTCAATCCAATCAAAATACACTGCCACACTTAACCACCCATTCAAGCGTGTCTCATTTAGTCACCTGTTTCAGCATCTCTCTTTTAGCGACCTATTTGGACATAATCCTTTCAAATATGCATATTTTAACATGTGTCTTTTAGCCACCTATTCAGTCATAACTCTCTCTAACCACACACTCAAAACTGTCTCTTTTAGCCACCTATTCAGTCATAACTCTCTCAACCATACACTCAAAGCTGTCTCTTTTAGCCACCCATTCAAAATTAATTCTATGAACCACTTTTTATAAAAAATATCTCTGTGGGCCACCAACTCAACAAAATGACCCACTCGACAAAATGATTCTGTAAACCACCGACTAAACAAAAAGTCTCTATTAACCACATACTCAACAAAATGACTCTATGAACCACCCTCACCAAAATCTATGAAACATTCTTTCAACAAAATGTCTCTATTAAGTACCTATTCAACAAAATATCTCTATTAACAACCCACTCAATAAAATGTCTCTATTAACCACCCACTCAATAAAATGTCTCTATTAACCACTCACTCAACAAAATGTCTCTATTAACCACCCACTCAACAAAATGTCTCTATTAACCGCCCACTTGAACAAAATATTTCTATTAACCGCCCACTCAACAAAATATTTCTATTAACCACCAACTTAACAAAATATCTCTATTAACCGCCCACTCAACAAAATATTTCTATTAACCGCCCACTCAACAAAATATTTCTATTAACCGCCCACTCAACAAAATATTTCTATTAACCACCAACTTAACAAAATATCTCTATTAACCGCCCACTCAACAAAATATTTCTATTAACCGCCCACTCAACAAAATATTTCTATTAACCACCAACTTAACAAAATATTTCTATTAGCCACCCACTCAACAAAATGTCTCAATGAATCACCCCCTCAAGAAAATGTCAAAATAAACCACTAATTCTACAAAATTTTATAAATGAACCACCTACTCAACAAAATGTCTAAATGAACCACCTACTCAACAAAATGTCTCAATGAACCACCCACTTAACAAAATGTCTCTATTAACCGCCCATTCAACAAAATGTCGCAATGAACTACCTACTCAACAAAATGTCTAAATGAACCACCCACTCAACAAAATGTCTCAATGAACCACCCACTCAACAAAATGTCTCAATGAACCACCCACTCAACAAAATGTCTCAATGAACCACCCACTCAACAAAATGTCTCAATGAACCACCCACTCAACAAAATGTCTCTAACCGCCCACCAAACAAAATGTCTCTAGTAGGTGACGACAGCGGACTGTTCACTGGTATCGCTCTGACCTCCCCACAAACGGTTACATGCCGGCTTGTCCGTTGATCTATGGCGAGTGGGCAGCTGATGATGATGACGTAGTGCCTGGTGGGGCTGGGGTGGTGGAACTGCCTGGTGCCGGTGGTGGCTCAGGGTTAGAGCTGCTACTGCCCTTGCTTGTGGCAATCCAAACTGTGGTGAAGAGACAACACAAATGTTAGTGAACCTCAAAAAGAATCAAAGTCTGTATAATCAATGATATTCACACAATGTTTGTACAATCAATGATATTTACACAATCAATGTTTGTACAATCAATGATACTCACACAATCAATGTTTGTTCAATCAATGATATTTACATAATCAATGACATTAATTTAATCAGTGATACAATAAAACAATCATAAAAATCAATGCCATTTACATGATCAACCATTCTTAATCAAACAATAAAACTTTAATAAAATCAATGATATTCACATAATCAACGTTCATATAATCAGCGATATTCACAGTCAACATTTGTAAAATCAATGATATTCACACAATCCATGTTTTTATAATCAATGATAGTCACTCTATCAATGATACTCATAAAATTAGTGTTAAATGATAAATGGAACAAACCAATTATCTATATGGTAATTATAACTGTAAAAGTAAGTAAAGGACCCTTTTCCACGCCTTTAGGGTGTATTGGGCATATAGGGCTAGACCTATATTTTACAGACTAATCTGCACAAGATTGGTTGATGTAGTCAGCATCACACCAGCCGCCTCTCCTTCCCAGGACTGCACCCGGAACCCACTCAAGGCTGGGTCGACCTGGGTGTCAAAGTCATTTTTGAAAAAAGTCAGGCTCCGCCAGGGAGCAAACCCACGACATTTAGATCTGCACGCAAGCATTTGGCCGCTACGACTCCCACAATTACAACTGCTGTCAGAAATGTTCAAATAATCAAAGTATATATTAGCAGCAATTTTTAAACAATAAAATGTTCCTGAGTGGGCGCTAGGGCCCAGTTGGGGCAGGGAAAGGGAGGAATAGACTCCCCCTCTACCCCCACAAGTATGTCGTAAATTTTCTAATCAACGATGTTACCTTCAAAGTAAGGGTATTTCTGCTTGAGGCAAGGAACCAACAGTCGGCTTCCCCCGTGTGGGTTCCGGGGCCTCATTGTGGGGAAAAACAAGAATGGACCCACCGCCTCCCCAAAAGCATGTCGTAAGAGTCGACTAATTGGGGAGCTTCCTTTGAAATCGGAGTGCATCTGCCGGAGAGGCAAGGAACGAACAGTCTGTATTCAAGAGAATGAGATCTGTAAAACTGATGCACACGCAACACTCAGGTTCTGGAGCAGTACTGCAGTTCAGTAGTGGACGAGCAACCAGAACTTTCAGCCAGAGTTTACAGCTGGTGAACGAGAAGAAGAGTCTGCTTATATATATATATTTAAAAAAAAGCCAATCTGTAAATTGAATGTGCAGGCAAAACTCAAGTTCCGGAACAAGACCAAAGTCCAGAAGTGGATAAACAACCAGAACTTATTGCTGGTGTTTACATCCAATGGATGATAAGCAGCAGCAGCAACAGAACAATAAACTATAACAAATAATCAGCTTTTTTCAAATAATCAGTCTTTCACATAATCATCTTTTTTCAAATAATCAGTCTTTCACATAATCAGCTTTTTTCAAATAATCAGCCTTTCACATAATCAGCTATATTCAAATAATCAAAGACTTTCACATAATCAGCTACATTTAAATAATCAAAGTCTTTCACATAATCAGCTTTTTTCAAATAATCAAAGTCTTTCACATAAACAGTGATATTCAAATAATCAAAGGCTTTCACATAATCAACTATTTTTAAATAATCAAAGGCTTTCACATAATCAGCTATTTTCAAATAATCAAAGTCTTTCATATAATTAGTTATGTTCAAATAATCAAAGGCTTTCACATAATCAGCTTTTTTCAAATAATCAAAGTCTTTCATATAATTAGTTATATTCAAATAATCAAAGGCTTTCACATAATCAGCTATTTTCAAATAATCAACGGCTTTCACATAATCAGCTATTTTCAAAGAATCTAAGGCTTTCACATAATCAGCTATTTTCAAATAATCAAAGACTTACACATAATCAGTGATATTCAAATAATCATAAATACTTTTTTTTGGGAGGATGATAATATTTAGGAACTGTTAATTGCAGTGCTAAGTCGATGCGAATGCTTCGTAATGCCGGGTTCGATTTCAGCTGCGGGCCATGCGCCTTGCGTTGGTTTCGACGATGGTATCAGGGGACCGACCGTCCAGAAAGCACTGGCAAACTACTGGACGTATATTTGCCTAGAGAAACCACACAACTGCCAGTGGCTGCTGGGGTTGGTTCTGCAACGTCCTGTAAAGGATACGCAACTAACCTAATTGCAGTTTAACACTTTGCTGACCAGCAATCTTTGGCATTACTGTCTCCCATTACCAAGGGCATTTGGAGATGTTTTTCAAAATGACTGGTTTTCTAACAAAATTCATTTTTTTTTAAAATCAAAAGGGAGCGTAGGGCTATGAAACCTTCACAGCACCATTACAAATGAGTGCTAAACATGAAAAAAGATATATTATGCAAATATGTGACATGATCATGGCGGGGCCATCTTGATTTGTGCGCCTTTTTTGTAAATAATGTTCTACTTTCATTAGCCCTTTTCAAGCAATCTATTGTTAGTTATTCTGGCAGTCCAAGGTATTTGCAACATTCGTCTCAAGAATCTTGTCTCGGAAACTAAAATATTCTGGCCATGTCAAGCACCACGGTGGCTAGGGAAGAACAGTAGCAGAAGGCAGAGTACCAGCACAACAAAGGGACCTTTGCCAGGACAACAGAGAGACCTTTGCCAGGAACACAGAGGGACCTTTGCCAGGAAAACAGAGGGACCTTTGACAGGACAACAGAGGGACCTTTGCCAGGACAACAGAGGGACCTTTGACAGGACAACAGAGGGACCTTTGCCAGGACAACAGAGGGACCTTTGCCAGGACAACAGAGGGACCTTTGCCAGGACAACAGAGGGACCTTTGCCAGGACAACAAAGGGACCTTTGCCAGGAAAACAGAGGGACCTTTGCCAGGAAAACAGAGGGACCTTTGCCAGGAAAACAGAGGGACCTTTGCCCGGACAACAGAGGGACCTTTACCAGGAAAACAGAGGGACCTTTGCCAGGACAGAGGGAACTTGGCCAGGACAAAGGGACCTTTGCCAACATGCTTTTTTAGATGGCAGTGTGAAAACTTCCCCCTCCCACCACCAATCCACAAACATCCAGGGGAGGGTGCATGCACGCCAGAATTCACACAGGAAGCTTGGTACTAAAGTGAAGTTTTATCTACACGCTAGTGGCCTATATGGCATATGAAGCTAGACAAATTTTTCTAAAACAATCGGCACTCGATGAGTGATGTAGTCACATCCTGCCAGCCGCCTTTACTTCGGAAAACTTTACCTAATGTACGTTTAAGGCTGGTTCGACCTGAGAGACATGGTTACGCACCAAACAAATTCAGCTTGTTATTGTAAGAATTCTTCTTCTTCTTCGTGTTCACCAGCTGTACACTCTGGCGGAAAGTTCTGGTTGTTTTTCCACTTCTAGACTGCAGCCCTGCTCCAGAGCTTGAGTGTTGTGTGTGCATCAGTTTTACAGATCTGACTAACTTTAATACAGACTGTTAGTTCCCCGCCTCTCAGGCAGATGCACTCCGATTTTAAAGAAAGCTCTCCAATTAGTCGACTCTTCTTCTTCTTCTTCTTTCGTTCGCCTGAAATAAATTGTCTATACCAGCAGTTTTGTCTATTGTATAAATTTAATTGTCGTTGTTAATTCATTCAGTGGTCCATAGAGTTTACGTTCCACTGTTGTTCTTTCTGGCCAAAAGGTTTGCCTCAATGTGTCAAAATCGGTGCAGTCCTGGAGTACATGCTCTGCTGTCTGGGGCACATTTCCACAGGTGCACATGGCTGATACACCTATCTTGAATTTTGTGTACATGTGGTTACGTTATCGGTTGTGCCCTGCGCTGGGGCTGGTGGTTTCCTGATTGATTTAATGATTCTTTTCTTTCTGTGGTATGTGACTGGTACATCCTGCTGCTCTTTTGTCGCACCTTCCCCTGCCAGTTCATCAGCTTTCTCATTTCCAGGCACTTCACAATGAGACAGTATCCACTGCATTACAACTCTTTGCTGAAGGCTGAGTTGTGTCAGCAGTGTTTGCAATTCTGGTAGTTTCCTAGACTGGAGTGCTTCAAGTACTGATCTTGCATCTGTCAGCATTACCACATACTGTGAGCCAAGATTTGTATTTAGCAGTTTCTCTGTTGCTATCTTGATAGCTTGAGTTTCTGCTTCATAGTTATGGCAGTACTTCCCGGTTGGTACTCTGGACTTATCCCTAGTACCATCTGGGAATTCGATGTACACTCCATGGTGGTGCTGGAGTGTACATTAGTCGACTCTTACGACATGCTTTTGGGTAGGCAGTGGGTCTATTCTTGTTTTCCCCACAACCGGGCCCCGGAACCCACACGGGGAGTAAGAATTATATATCTGGGGGACTCCGTGACAGCGCTCTGAGGTTTTGTTTCGTGGACATGTTCAGCCCATACACACAGTTTGTAGCAAGGATCCATGAGGACCGTCTCTGGAGCTATGAGATTTGTGCTCTGTGTGACTTTCTAGCAGTTGGCTAGCTATTTGGTGGAGAGAGACCGAGCAATACCGGATCAAACCCGGCATAAAGAAGTCAATCGTCTCGACTTTAATTACAATTAAATATCATTTGCCCTTTTCTTCATTTCATTCTTCTGCCACTGGTTTTCAGAGAAATTGGTTCTCTTATTTTCGGTCGCTAGCATTACATTGCTTGTTGCCATAGTTTTCAGGTTCTGCTGTGTCACCTTTCTGGTCTATCCGCACCTTTTGGCCCGGCAATCTCTAACTTCGCATGCTCGTCTGTTAGAATTATCGTCCTTAGACGGACTGCTGCTCCCCGCTGCTGAGGTCCTTCTGCCCTAAACATCACACACAAAATCTTTAATTTATAATGCCATTATTTTAACTCCTCCTTGATTAAACTAAAATAAAGAATTGAAGATAAACAACAAGGAGTGAAAGCAAAAACCAGTGCTGAAAAAGTAAAAATCACATAAAATCTGACAATATTTACACAAAGTAAAGAAGAAAAAAACAAAAAACTCACCAGCAATAATGATAATTATCACAACAATTATAGCAATCAAAATCAGCCACATCTGTCAAGATAAGAACAACAAAGTTACAATATCAAACAGTCAGAAACATAAACTCTTTCGGTGCCGGGGGACACTCACATTTTATAAAAATCAACTTTAAAAAAAATAAAAACGGTGCTTTTGTACTAAGTCCCCCCAAACAGACAGTCCAATATTTCAGGGGGTGGTAGAAAGGCTGCATGCGGTCTAAAGTGTCGGTGGCTTTTTTCTTTTTTGGGTGAATGAGGTCACGGACCACAAAAATGGTGGGTTATTTGTCGTCTGCTGGCCACGCAGCTTTACCATTTTGCCAGATCATAGAAGAATGATGCCTGGCTGGATGACACATTTAACTTTATAGATGATGTTTTTGTTTTAGTCATAATAAAATCGTTCACATTATCCAACTGTTAGATTGTATTTTTGTGAAAGGCGATAATTAGGGGTTTGTTTATATTGGACGTGTTGGGTCAAAGTTGTAGGTGTCGCAGCTGAGCAGTAAACAATATAAATGAAGAAGAACTCCCCGTGTGGGTTATGGGGCCCTGTTAAATGGAATACAAGAATAGACCCACTGCCTTCCCAAAAGCATGTCATAAGAGTCAACTAATTGGGAGCTTCCTTCAAAGTCGAAGTGCATTTGCCTGAGAGGCAAGGAACCAGCAGTCTGCAGAAAAATTAGATCTGTAAAATGGATGCACACGCAACACCTAAGTTCTGGAACAGGACTGCAGTCCACAAGCGGATGAACAACCAGAACTTTCCACAAGAGTTTACAGCTGTTGAACGCGAAGAAGAATTAAGAGGCCGAACAACAAATTCCAATGTCTCAGTTTAAATCAGTGCATGAATTGTGCAATGAATTCCAAGTCCTGTCTAATTCAAGCATGACATGACTCAAACTCAACATCCAAAATAAACTATTAAATGAAAGCTAGTGCAACAACTGCTACCCAACTAAAGCTAGTGCAACAACTGCTACCCAACTAAAGCTAGTGCAACAACTGCTACCCAACTAAAGCTAGTGCAACAACTGCTACCCAACTAAAGCTAGTGCAACAACTGCTACCCAACTAAAGCTAGTGCAAGAACTGCTACCCAACTAAAGCTAGTCCAACGATTATTTTCTTACTTTAGTTCCATCCAACTAAACTTAGTGCAGCTCCTGAACTAAATTCCCACCCACTAAACTTCTACCAACTAAAGCTAGTGCAGCTCCTGAACTAAACTCGCACCCACTAAACTTCTACTTAACTAAAGCTAGTGCAGCTCCTGAACTAAACTCGCACCCACTTAACTTCTACCCAACTAAAGTTAGTGCAGCTCCTGAACTTAACTCGCACCCACTAAACTTCTACCCAACTAAAGTTAGTGCAGCTCCTGAACTAAACTCGCACCCACTAAACTTCTACCCAACTAAAGTTAGTGCAGCTCCTGAACTAAACTCGCACCCACTAAACTTCTACCCAACTAAAGTTAGTGCAGCTCCTGAACTAAACTCGCACCCACTAAACTTCTACCCAACTAAAGTTAGTGCAGCTCCTGAACTAAACTCGCACCCACTAAACTTCTACCCAACTAAAGTCAGTACAGCTCCTGAACTAAATTCCCACCCACTAAACTCCTACCCAACTAATCTCCCACCTAACTAATCTCCTATCTACTAAACTCCAAACCAACCAATCTCCTAACAAACCAATCTCCCATCCACTAAACTCCAAACCAACCATTCTCCTAACAAACCCATCTCCCATCCACTAAACTCCAAACCAACCAATCTCCCATCCACTAAACTCCAAACCAACCATTCTCCTAACAAACCAATCTCCCATCCACTAAACTCCAAACCAACCAATCTCCCATCCACTAAACTCCAAACCAACCATTCTCCTAACAAACCAATCTCCCATCCACTAAACTCCAAACCAACCAATCTCCTAACAAACCAATCTCCCATCCACTAAACTCCAAACCAACCATTCTCCTAACAAACCCATCTCCCATCCACTAAACTCCAAACCAACCAATCCCCCATCCTCTAAACTCCAAACCAACCATTCTCCTAACCCTCCAATCTCCCATCCACTAAAGCCAAACCAACCATTCTCCTAAACAACCAATCTCCCATCAACTAAAGCCAAACCAACCAATCTCCTAACAAACCAATCTCCCATCCACTAAACTCCAAACCAACCATTCTCCTAACAAACCAATCTCCCATCCACTAAACTCCCATCCAATTAATCTCCCCTCTGCTAAACTCCTATCCAACTAATCTCATATCAATTAAAGCCCACTAATCTAAACTCCTTCCCATCTAATCTCCCATCCACTAAACTCCTATAAAACTAATCCCCCACCCTCTAAGCTCCTATCCAACTAATCTCTCATCCATCAAAGCCCCACTCAACTAAACTCCTATCCAACTAATCTCCCATCCTCTAAGCTTCTATCCAACTAATCTCCCATCCATTAAAGCTCCACCCAACTAACATCCACACCAACTAAAGCCAGTGCAACAGTTAACATTGTGACAACTACACTAGCTATAAAACAGGCACATCAAACAGCACGAGTGGGACCGGGTGAGCACCGGCGGGTCATACCCACTCACCAATGATGATGATTACAATTATGGCGATGATGGCTCCCAACACCAACATCATCTGTGAATTAGGAAGCAGCCGAGTGTATACACATAGTCACACAATACACCCTTTTGGCATGCGTCCCAAACATACTTCTTAGATGAACTCAATCTCTCTCTTTCTCTTTTAAATAAACATTTAGGCACAAATAGGTCATCACGGTCTGAGGAGAATGGAGCTGCAAGGCGTGACCATGGGGATCTGGCCGACGCTCAACACTCAAGGGACATAAGAGATTGACATACAATCAGACCGCTACTGGTTACGTTAATCAGTCTGGAGGCACCAACAGATGAGCACGGTCTGAGGAGAAGGGTGCTGCGGCATGACCTGGTAAAAGATGCTCAATGCTCAAGGAAAAGGCGAGACGCAAATACAATCAGACTGTAACTGGTGCCATCAGAACTGGAACTCTGAGCTTGCTGCTGAAGGTGGAGGAGGAGTGCTTATGGCAATGTTACGAATGCTGTGAATGTTGTACAAGGTGACTGATTAGGGGTTTCCTTCTAATCGAAGTGAACGTGCCTCTAGGACTAATGTTGCTGAGAAAGGTCAAAGGTTGCTGGCTGGATTTTGTCCACGATATCGAAAGGAATCGCAAGGAAAGAACAGAATGGAGGATTAGACTGTGAGAAGTATAATGGCACAACAGTATGACGATGACGAAACAATCTTTTCCTAGACTGAGGAAAACTTTAAAATGGTCAGAGAAATCAGACATAGACAATCTCTGTTTCTTTGATCTGTGTCCTGCAGCAGGAGGGCCGTCTGGAGGCACCTGTAGCATATGCTGCTATATGTTTGAAGAAAAACTCATTGCCCACATCAGAAAGAGACAATCTACATTCTTTGGTCATGTGATGAGAAAAAGCACATCGTGATGATGGGAAAAGTTAGAGGGGAGGAGAGGCAGTTGGAGGGGAGGCAGTTGGAGGGGAGGAGAGGCAGGGGGAGGGGAGGAGAGGCATTGGAGAAGGGAGGAGAGGCAGTTGGAGCGGAGCTGGCAGGCAGTTGGAGGGGAGGAGAGGCAGTTGGAGGGGAGGAGAGGCAGTTGGAGGGGAGGAGAGGCAGTTGGAGGGGAGGAGAGACAGTTGGAGGGGAGAAGAGGCAGGGGGAGACTAAGAGAGAAGATGCTGGACAGTTTGACATTATGGCACTATAATGTTAGAACCACTTGAAAGTGCTGGCACTATAATGTCAGAACCACTTGAAAGTGCTGGCACTATAATGTTAGAACCACTTGAAAGTGCTGGCACTATAATGTCAGAACCACTTGAAAGTGCTGGCACTATAACGTTAGAACCACTTGAAAGTGCTGGCACTATAATGTTAGAACCACTTGAAAGTGCTGGCACTATAACGTTAGAACCACTTGAAAGTGCACATGACAGAAGGTTGTGGACAGACATGACTACCAATGCTATGTGGCTCGACCTCTTTATCGTAGAGTAACTATTTACACACAAGATTGCTGCACAAAGCACAAGACCTTGTAGCTCCAGCAGCAGCCCACAGGGATCTCTGAAACACTTGCACTCAAACTAAAGGGTAAGTCTGCAACACACACTTCTCACATTTAGAAAACATGTGGAATGACAAAGTCAAAGACACTGTGGGCACAAAGGGCAAGACCTATATTTTTATAGACCAGCCAACACTATGGGGGATGTGGTCAACCGCACAAGCTGCCTTTACTTCCCAGGATTTTACCTGGTTTACATTTTAGGCAGGGTCAACTTGGGAGCCTGAATGACTTGCAGAGCAGGCTGAGAAAGCTATGCTTCATGCAAACTGGCACATATCACTTCAGAAGCCTGGGACAGTTAGCATTCTTTGGATATTTTTTCCAGGGTATATGCGTGTGTTGGGAAACAAACAGGCAGACAGATTGGCCGGCTGTGAACTACCTGGTGGTTAACTGATGCGCCACAAGCTAGATGATGTCATCACTCTTTGGGAGGGAGTGAACAGTGAGGGGACACACCAAGATTATCCTGTTTTGAAAACAGCCGCTAAGGGATCTGGTTGACACTTCACTTGGAGGAAAAGAAAGACAGGCACACAATCAGACTATTACTGGTACCATCTGAGTTGGAACTCTTCAATGGCTGCTGAAGATGGGGACAATACACTCATGAGAATGTTCCAAGTGCTGTGAGGTCAGTTCTTAAACCTCAAACTCGACTCAATCTGAGAGCCAAGGACAATTTTGAAAAAACTTTCTGTAGATTATGAAGAAAATGAATAAACTAGCTAAGATACTGAATTTCTGCCAGTTGGTCTCTGCAAACTTACCTTCAGATTCTTCCACCAATATTTTCGTTTCAGTTTTCCAGCGCTGGCTTCAAATTGGGAGGCGCCAGCTTGGAGTGCCTCTGGAAAAGATAAATAAGATAAAGAATGATAACTGTTAAATGAAATGGAGTGTCTCTAGAAGAGATAAATAAGATAAAGAATGACAACCGTTTAATGAACTGGAGTGTCTCTGGAAGAGACAAATAAGATAAAGAATGACAACCGTTTAATTAACTGGAGTGCCTCTGGAAGAGACAAATAAGATAAAGAATGACAACTGTTTAATGAACTAGAGTGTCTCTGGAAGAGATAAATAAGATAAAGGATGACAACTGTTCAATGAACTGGAGTGTCTCTGGAAGAGATAAATAAGATAAAGAATGACAACTGTTTAATGAATTGGAGTGCCTCTGGAAGAGATAAATAAGATACAGAATGATAACTGTTTAATAAACTGGAGTGTCTCTGGAAGAGACAAATAAGATAAAGAATGACAACTGTTTAATGAACTAGAGTGTCTCTGGAAGAGATAAATAAGATAAAGAATGACGACTGTTTAATGAACTGGAGTCGCTATATCTCAGGAAAAGTTGTGGTGGTTGTTTCTTTAGTTAACTGACACTGATTTATGTGGACGTTTTTTCCAAGTTCAACACTGCTTGTTATTTTTCTTCTTATCCTCCTCAATTTAATCACAGGTTGCTAAGAGAGTGATTGGGGGGAGGGGGGAGGCGGAGTGGGTGTGTCTTTGCTATGGAAAAAAGGGGGAGTGGTGTGAACCTGAAAAAGGCTGGAGAAAATAAAAAGCAAAAATGTAGGGATGCTTCCTTTAGAGTCAGAGTGCATTTGCTGGGAAAGTGAGGAACCAACAGTGCGCACACAAGTAACCTAAATTCTGTGAAATGGATGTGCACTCAAAACTCAAGTTCTGGAACAAGACCAAAAATTAGAAGTGGACAAACAACCAAAACTTTCTACTGGAGTTGAAGGCCGGTGAATGTTAAGAAGACCGGTTCTTGCATCTTCAGTGACCCTCTGTGGAATGGAAACAAGCAACTCACAAACTAACATCTACAATGACAAAAAAACCACAGCCTACCTGCTCTATCATCAAGCTGTGATATCTTTTGATCTCTCTCCAACACTTTTTCCACATTTACCCGCATAATATCAACCACCTGAAAGAGAGGAAGAATAAACATATAAATCTGAACAAAAGAGACTGTGAGAAGGTTAAGGTAAAGTCGGGAGATGTGAACCAGCGTCAGTGCACACAGTTATAAACCATGAGTGCTCTGCCAACAGTATGGACAGCTGATAAGAATTGTCCTTCTGTGTCGCCGTTCGCACATAACTCTGTAGCTACAGCGACATTCCTCCATTTACCCCAGAGTGTCAACTCTGGTACCCATTTCCTAGAGGCTGGGTGAACCCCGGGAGCCGCCCGGTTTCGAACACCGACCGTGGGCTGCAGATGGATTTGAAAGTGAGCTTCTTATCAACTATGCTAACGTGGCCCCCAGACTGTGAGAAAGAAGGTTTGAGCACAGCCAGCTCCAGATATAAGGCTCATCATGTAGCAGGTCCTTTGCAGAACGTCACTCTCATCACAGTCTGCCTAAAAGAAACTTGGTCTCTCGCCAGTTCTCCCATCTCATGTACTTTCATACTCAAGGAGTCACTTATGTCCTGTGCCCATTTTCGTGTCAGTCGGGCCCTGCCCCTTTTTTCTGGTACCATGCCTTCTGCTTTAATTTTTTCCAATCCGTCGTGGAGCTTGATATAACCAAAATATTTCAGCTTCCGAGACAGGATGCTGTTTATTAGCCAATCTTCCTTGATGTTCTGATCTTTCAAGATGTCAGTATTTCTCCTCTTCTTTGTCCAAGATATTCTGAGAATCTTTCTATAGAATTTCACCTTAAAAGCCCCTATTCTCTTTCTTTCTTAAGGACTGAGTGATAGTCCACGATAGATGTGTTATTGAATGAATTATTATTTTCAAGATAAACAAACGGGCTGTTAAAAATATTTATCTTTAGAATGATAGTTCATTCATTAACACATGTTGCAAATTAATTAAACTGTAGTTCCAATTATGTATAAATCTACTCGATAACAATTGTTATCACCGACGGCCTAACAAAAACGGTAATTCCCGTTGACCTGTGTGGCCTTATATCTGGAGCTGACAGTCGTTTGAGGTTTGAACATTGGATCAACATCATAGCACACGGGTAGTAACCTATAAGTGCTTCATTCTTCTAACTCAAGTCTGAGTCCGAAAAAGCTCAGCACAGTGCACAGGCTCTGAAGCACCGGCGGGGATCCTAAAAAACTTTAGGTAGATTTGAAACTCCAAATTTTTGCCTGGGCAGCAATGTTAGGCTACTCTTTTTGATTTCCAACTGCCAAATGATTTTTTTTTTACGTGCGCAAAAATGCACACGGGCGTCCAATCTCACTACTCAGAGACCAGGGGGAATTTACTAGAAGTCCACGTCCACGTGAAAAAATCCCAGCCCTCACCGGGACTTGAACCCAGAACCTCTAGCACTCGAGGAGGACATCATGCCTCAAGACCACACAGCCCCCTGAGTGGGAACGAAAAAAAAATGAATATACTGTTTAAAAAATGTGCAGTTATCCGATGGCATGTATTTATTAGTTGACATGAAAGCCTGTGTGCCTAAAAACTATTCACGACGCAAATGCGAAAGAACTCTCAACTGCACTATTAAGGGCACACAAAAAAGGCTTGCTGATGAAGAGGCTTGTTGCTGTAACGCTCTTTGCATTCACTTTTAAACTAACTGTCTCTTAAGGAAGACTGGCTAGTAAAAAGCATCCTGTCTCAGAAACTGAAATATTTTGGCCATATCATGCACCATAGTAGATTGGAGAAAAATATAGCAGAAGGCGCGGAAGCTGAAAAGAGAGGCAAGAGCTGAACAGCACAAAGATGGACACAGGATATCAGCGACACTTTCGGTAAGAAAGTCCACGAAGCAGGAGAGCCTGGAGAGAGACCGACTTTCTTGCAGGTCATGAACGTGATGTTCTGCAAAAAAACCTGCTACATGATGATAATGTTCCAGGCTTTATTAATACCCTACCCCAAACAAGGGAAATCCATAGGTCATGGGACAGTCTTAAATATTTCAGGGGGTGGTAGATAGGCTGCATGCAGTCATGGGACATAGGCTGCACGCATTTGTGAGACCCACGCTGCACTTTCTCGTGGGATGTAGGGGGGTTGGGGTTTTCTATCTAGATGTTTTGGGGTCGTTAAAAGCATCAGAAAGCCAGGAAACTCAGTCTTACCACCCTATAAAATGTCGGACTGTCCTGTGACGTCATCTGGGGTAGGATATTTACAAAGAACCTAATGTTCTGTAAGCTGACATACTACTACTTCTTCTTTGCATTCACAGGTTGTAAACCTCAGAGACAAGTTTTGATTGTTCGTTAACCTGTGGACTTTTAGTCTCGTTCCAAAACCTGACTGTTGCGCGCACATCTGTTTACAGATCTGACTTATGTGTATGCAGAGTGTTGGTTCCCTGCCTCTCAGGCAGATGCCCAAGAACCCACACAGGGATCATATGTTTTCTTTCCAAATCTGTTTCAGACAAAACTTACAACGGCTAGATGAAATGAAAATACAAACAGAAACAGCATCTGTGACAGGACAATCCTACTGTCAATCAAACACCACAAGTTCAAGGTTACCTCATCAACTTGGGCCTGCGTCTGCTGCAGACGTTTACTCTGCTCCCGTGGGGGCTGCATCCCGCCCTGGGGGCCGCCTGGTCCTGCTGACCTGTGGAAACAAAACAGTGGTTCTGTCAGAATTTTGTTCAGTTCTGCCAGTGTAAAGTACAGTTCTTTCAGTTCAAATATAGTTTTGTCAGTGTTTTTTATAGTTCTGCCAGTGTAAAGAGCAGTTTTTTTTCATATTAAACATAGTTCTGTCAATGTTTTGTATAGTTCTGCCAGTATAAAGTGAAGTTTTTTTCAGTTTAAATATAGTTCTGTCAGTGTTTTGTATAGTTCAGTCAGTGTAGTTATTTCAGTTTAAATTTAGTTCTGTCAGTGTTTTGTATACAGTTCTGTCAGTGTAAAGTGCAGTTCTTTCAGATTAAATATAGTTCTGTCAGTGTTTTGAATAGTTCTGTCAGTGTAAAGTACAGTTCTTTCAGCATTTTGTATAGTTGTGCCAGTGCAAAGTACAGTTCTTTCAGTGTTTTGAATAGTTCTGTCAGTGTAAAGTACAGTTCTTTCGTTGGATCTTTGACCGAATAGTTCTTCGTTGGTGTCAAAGTACAGTTCACTCTTCAGTGTTTTGTTTAGTTCGCTGGTCAGTGTAAAAGTCACCGTTTTTTTTCTCAGTTTTAATATAGTTTTGTCAGTGTTTTGTATAGCTCTGCCAGTGCTTTGTTTAGTTCTGCCAGTGTAAATTGAAGTTCTTTCAGTTTAAATATTATAGTTCTGTCAGCACTATAGTTAGCTCTGCCAGCATAAGGCGTAGTTCTTCAGCACTAAGTATAGTTTTCCAGCATAGAGTATATAGTTCTGTCAGTGGTAGGGATAGTATCTGGATCTGTCTCTCTTGATCACATCAAAACTACAGGAGACCTTTTCAGGGCTATCTGGTGGTCAGCAATGCTAAACCATTCGAAAATGGCGCAAATAACCTAGTCACAATTATAACCAAAAAGCTTTCCCTTTGGGAATGCTAGTTGAACGTGACCATTTTTATCTTAATTTTTTTTTGCAAAACAAGGATGGAAGGCAAAGACCTCGGAGTCTAAGTTAGTTAGCTGTACATCCTTTACAGGGCGTTGCAGAACCAACCCCAGCGTGTTTTGGCTGCTGTGGTTTTTCTAGGCAAATTTTACGTCCAGTGGTTTGCCATTGCTTTCTGGACGGTCGGCTTCTCTGTACCACTGTCGAAAACAACGCAAGGCGCAGAGCCCGCAGCTGGGATCAAACCTGGCACCCCGGCATTGCGAAGCGCGTTCGCAACACCTAAGCCACACACGCTAACATCAGAGGCAAAGGACATGTCTAAAAAAATATATGCATTGTTTACTATTTCACATAGTTCTGTCATAGTGTCTCGGACTGGCAAACATTGTATGTGAGTTTGTGGACAAAGTCGAATGTGCACTTTGACAAAAGGATACGTCAAACTGTCAAACTTGTCACCAGAGACGTCATTCCTCTCAGCTGGGAAGACAGGCTGAGATAATTTATCTCCTGACACGACATGACGAATAACCATTGGTGATTCTTCCGTACCAGTTTAGCTCTTTTGTGTGTGTGTGACTTAAGGGTGGTGTCTGTGACTTCAGGGTGGTGTCTGTGACTTCAGGGTGGTGTCTGTGACTTCAGGGTGGTGTCTGTGACTTAAGGGTGGTGTCTGTGACTTAAGGGTGGTGTCTGTGACTTCAGGGTGGTGTCTGACTTAAGGGAGCCACCGTGGTGTAGCAGCTAGACGCCTCGCCAGCGGATCAGAAGGTCGTGAGTTTGGGTCCTGATGGAGCTGAAATGACACCGGCTCCCAGGTCAACCCAGCCTTGAGTGGGTAGGCATATTCCTGGGAAGTAAAGGCGGCTGGCATGATGCTGAACATATCACCCACCAAGTGCCGATTGATCTATAAATTACAGGTCTAGCCCTATACGCCAAATATGCTTGAAGGCATAGGAAAGGGTCCTTTACCTTTTTACTGTGGTATAGATGCTGCAAACCTGTTTAGCAATTCTAAGGTGACAGGTTTCATTTTAACAGTGGGCAATCTGGCAATAGACTACCATGCTTTGGTTTCAAAAATCATATCAAGAGCTGAGCATCCAGAAAGCAATAGTAAACACTGCCTAGTGAAATTACAAACTGCCCAAAATTTGCTGGGGTAGGTTCTGCACGGCTTTGTAACGGATATGCAACTATAGTACGTTTCAAAAGTTGTGACTTCACACATTAACAACAATCTCAAAAACTTCTGTGTGGATCAAAATATATATTTTTGCAGAGGGCCTGAAATTTCCCATGTGTTTTTATGATTTCTGTCAGTGTAAATTACAATTTCTTTCAGCGTTTGCTGCTGTTTTCTCACAGCTGCAAACTACTCTTTGTTTTTGACTCAGTGTAAAAATTCTTTCAGTACCCCTAAAAAATAGAATATGTCAGTAGCAGACAGTTCTTTCAGTGGAGAGTTTCTGTTGTAAATAGCAGTTTATCCCACATATAATGAAAAACTGTGTTTTGGTATAACTGCCACAGCTTTGTTTATGCTGCCAGTGAGTGACTACTTTGTTACTTTTATAGCCTATTCACTAAGTTACTCTGAAAGCATTATGTAGTTCTTCAGCACTAAGTTATATGCTCCAGGAGAGAGTATTATATTTTGTCAGTGGTTCCACAGTATCTGGATCTGTCTCTCTTGATCACATCAAAACTACAGGAGACCTTTTCAGGGCTATCTGGGTGGCAATGCTAAACCATTCGAAAATTGCGCATCAGTAAAACCTAGACAGTTAGAACCGTCAAAGCTTTCCCTATTAATTTTTACTTTGAACGTGACCATTTTTATCTTAAATTTTGGTAGCAATAAAGGCAAAGACCTCGGAGTCTACTAGTTTACTGCACATCCTTTACAAACCGTTGCAGAATCAAGCCCAGCGTGTTAAAAGTGCTGTGTTTTTACTACTGAATACACAAGCTGAGACACATTGGTAATAATAAGTATTCTCTAGACTACTGTCGAAAACAACGCAAGGACGCAGAGCTTGCAGCTATATAAAACCTACCCCGGCATTTGCGAAGCGAATCATGGCCAGCTGGCCACACACGCTAAAAATCAGAGGCAAAGGACATGTCTAAAAAAATGTGGCATTTTTACTATTTCACATAGTGAGAAACACTAGTGTCTCGGATGGCAAAAATTGTAAAGTTTGTTAACAAAGTCGAATGTCACTTTGAAAGAAGGATACGTCAAACTGTCAAAGTGTCACCGTCATTCCTCTCAGCTGGGAAGACAGGCTGAAAATTTATGATCCTGACATGGGATGAACGAATAACCATCTGGTACATTCTTCCGTACAGAAAGCTCTTTGTGTGTGTGGGACTTAAGGCCGTGTCTGGATACTGTCTGAGAGAGGGTGGTGTCTGTGACTTAAGGGTGGTGTCTGTGACTTCAGGGTGGTGTCTGTGACTTAAGGGTGGTGTCTCAGTCAGAAATAACTTAATATAAGCAAGACTTAAGGGTGGACTTAAGGTGGTGTCTGTGACTTAAGGGAGCCACCGTGGTGTAGCACTAGACGCCTCGCCAGCGGATCAGTGGGTCGTGAGTTTGACTACTGATGGAGCTGAAATGACACCGGCTCCCAGGTAACCCAGCCTTGAGTGGGTAGGCATACTCCTGGGAAGTAAAGGCGGCTGGCATGATGCTGACATATCACCCACCAAGTGCCGACTGATCTATAAATTACAGGTCTAGCCAGACGCCAATACTGCTTGAAGGATAGACATGGTCCTTTACCTTTTTAACAAGTATAGATGCTGCAAACTGTTTGCAATTCTAAGGTGACAGTTGTGGACTTTTAACAGTGGGCAACTGGCAACTAGACTACCATGCTTTGGTTTCAAAAATCATATCAAGAGCTGAGCATCCAGAAAGCAATAGTAAACACTGCCTAGTGAAATTACAAACTGCCCAAAATTTGCTGGGGTAGGTTCTGCAAGGCTCTGTAACGGATATGCAACTATAGACTTTCAAAAGTTGTGACTTCACACATTGACAACTCAAAAACTTCTGTGGATCAGAATGACAACTAACAAGTTGTGGATAGACATGACAACTAACAAGTTGTGGATGAGACATGACTAACAAAACACAGTGCTGTGGGCTTTTAGACATGACTACTAACAGTTGTGGATAGACTACTTGACTACTAACAACTGGTTGTGAATAGACATGACTACTAAAAGTTAATGGATAGACTACTTACTGTACTAATTTTAAGTTGTGGAATCAGACATGACTACTAATAATTATTACTTACTGACATTAAATACTAACAAGTTTGTGGAGACATGACTACTAACAAGTATATTAGACTAATATAAATCGGGTAGACACAGGCTTGAGCTATATAAATCCTACCCTTATATACGGAAGCGAATCATGGCCAGCTGGCCAATTAGTAAAAAAATAATTTGAAGCGGTAGAAATGTGGTTTTAAAGATGAGAATAATGAGAACACTAGATAGATTTAAAAAAAAAAATTTTTTAAGTTATAAAGTCATTTTGAAAGAAATTGACTCATGAAGTGAACCGATTGCCACACCAAAGGGAGACAACCCAAATTCTTTGATCATGTCATGGGAAGAAGAAAACACAAGTACATTGTGGCGACAGGAAAGTTAGAATGGGAAAAAGGCCGAGGGATACTGAGAGAGAGGATGCTGGGTAGGTTGACATCATCACATGGAAGATCATCGCAAGAAACATCTCAGTCAGAAATAACTTAATATAAGCAAGACAGAAAGTTGTGGATAGACATGACTACTAACAAGTTGTGGATAGACATGACTACTAACAAGTTGTGGATAGACATGACTACTAACAAGTTGTGGATAGACATGACTACTAACAAGTTGTGGACAGACATGACTACTAACAAGTTGTGGATAGACATGACTACTAACAAGTTGTGGATAGACATGACTACTAACAAGTTGTGGATAGACATGACTACTAACAAGTTGTGGATAGACATGACTACTAACAAGTTGTGGATAGACATGACTACTAACAAGTTGTGATTTAGACATGACTACTAACAAGTTGTGGACAGACATGACTACTGCGACAGAATGTTGTGAGAGAGACATGACTACTAACAAGTTGTGGACAGACATGACTACTAAAAGTTGTGGATAGACATGGACTACTAACATTGTGGATAGACATGACTACTAAAACGTTAGAGGATAGACATCCAACTAATACTAACAAGTTGTGTGGATAGACTCCACTACTGTACAACACTAGATAGACATGACTCCAACAATATAAAATCTAGTGGACTGTTAACGCTAGATGAAACTACAATATAAAAAGTGTGTGGAAGACATGACCACTGTAAAACACAAGTTGTGAGGAACTACTAACAATATAAAATTTAGTGGAAACATTCTCCTGCTGGGAAACTCCAACCACAGTACATGAGACAGAATGCTGTAGAGACACACAACTATCAAACTCCAACAATATAAAATCTAGTGGAAACCATTCTCCCAAAAACGCTAGAGGAAACTCCAACCAACAATATAAAATCTAGTGGAAACCATACCCCTATAAACGCTAGAGGAAAACTTCAAAAATATAAAATCTAGTGGAAACTCCACCGCTGTAGCAGAGACTCCACTATCCCACCACACTAAAGTCAGCTAATCACCAAGAAGAAAAAAAATATGCTGATAATCAAGTTTACTCATACAACAGTATGGTAACATATGTTTACTCGTACAGGTTAGCCACGTATATTAATATTGCATGAGATGCCAGCTTTAGATGACACTTCGTTAGTGACAAGCATAGGGGATGTTTTACAGAATCATTTTTAGACTAAAGTTAGAATATCTAATTACGCCGGAATGTGTGGCCTGTGGCTGAAACAGTAGACTCACCATCACGTGCCTGGTCAAAGGGCGTGGGTGATCATGCCACTGCAGAACTCAGCACAATGTTTCAAGTGACTAAACTACATCAAGAGACAAATCAAATGGTTTGGACATGAATCAAGACTACCATCAGTTGAGTTGAGTCAAGAACTGACATTACAGAACTCGGGGCATTCCCATGTGTGCTCCGTCCTCATCTTCAGCAACCAGTGCAGAGTTCCAATACTGATTGTACCGGTCACAATCTGGTTATATGTTCGTCTTGCCTTTTCACTGAGTGTAGTGAGCCAGCCAGACCCTCTGGTTACATCCAGGTGCCTCATTCTCTCCAGACCATAATAATCTTCTTTCTCTACTAATTCTGTTGCTTGTTCCCAAAGGACCTTGACCACATCCGCCTTGTCATGAATCAATTCACCACCCAGTGGTGCAGATCCAGCCAATCTGTCTGCCTTTTCATTACCCATTACGCCAGCATGACCTGGAGAAAAAATCCTAAGTATGCTCACTACCCATGACATATCCAGTGAAGCTTGCCACTCTGCTCGAAGCATCCCTGTGTGACTACCATCAGATAGTGCACCAGAGAGCTATGTCATGTAGACACAATAGAAGCGACTTGAGGTCGACTACGCAAGTGATGGATAGATGGAATACCCGAGGAAGTAAATATGAAGACCTGAGTAGTGTATACATAGACTCACCTGATGCCTCTTCAAAACCTGACATTGAAAGACAGAAGAGGATCAGAGAAGAAGAAAAAGAAATGTTTCAAGTGTTGCATGCCACGATACAAGTTATACAGGGATGTGCTGCTAAAGTGACACATAGCTGAAACAACGGTCTCATTATCAGATATCTTGTCAAAGGGTGGGGTTATCATGTCTCGGCACAACTCACCACGACACAAGTTATACAGGGATGTACTACTAGTGTGATATAAAGCTGAAACAACTGTCTCATCATCAGGTATCTCATCAAAGGGTGGGGTGATCATGTCTCGGCACAACTCACCATGACACAAGTTATAAGGAGATGTACTACTAGTGTGATATAAAGCTGAAACAACGGTCTCATTATCAGATATCTTGTCGAATGGTGGGGTGATCATGTCTCGGCACAACTCACCACGACACAAGTTATACAGGGATGTACTACTAGTGTGATATAAAGCTGAAACAACTGTCTCATCATCAGATATCTCATCAAAGGGTGGGGGTGATCATGTCTCGGCACAACTCACCACGACACAAGTTATACAGGGATGTACTACTAGTGTGATATAAAGCTGAAACAACGGTCTCATTATCAGATATCTTGTCAAAGGGTGGGGTGATCATGTCTCGGCACAACTCACCACGACACAAGTTATACAGGGATGTACTACTAGTGTGATATAAAGCTGAAACAACTGTCTCATCATCAGATATCTCATCAAAGGGTGGGGTGATCATGTCTCGGCACAACTCACCATGACACAAGTTATACAGGGATGTACTACTAGTGTGATATAAAGCTGAAACAACTGTCTCATCATCAGGTATCTCATCAAAGGGTGGGGTGATCATGTCTCGGCACAACTCACCACGACACAAGTTATACAGGGATGTACTACTAGTGTGATATAAAGCTGAAACAACTGTCTCATTATCAGATATCTCGTCAAAAGGTGGGGGTGATCATGTCTCGGCACAACTCCTATTCTCTAGCACAGGGCTATTCAACTGGCGGCCAGCGGGGACCTAGCAAGTGGCCCACGGATCACTGTCAGCTGTAATGTATTAATGATTTTTCTCTCAACAGGAAAGAACAAAAATAAATTTTTAGACTTCGGACTGGACACTGTGGTCTTTGAGCACACTTGTACAGGATAGGCATAAAAGAATCTGCTGCCTGTGATTGTGGAGCAGAAAGACAAACCCCTGAGCACATACTACAGTACTGCCCTAACCTCTCCCAGCAAAGACTGTGGATCTGGCCCAAAGGAGCCACATTGCAAGAGAAGCTATAGGGGACCGGTGGCGACCTTAAACGCACAATCCTATTTGTGACCCAGAAGGGACTCAATGTTTAGCATGACTGATGTCGAACGCAGAAGAAGAAAAAAAAAGAATGATTTTTCAATGGCAGGGCTTCAGCCTCTGGCCCCTGATGATCCACATTTTCAATATTTTGTCAATTTTTCAAGAGGTGTGGGTGACATGTCTCTGCACAACTCACTGAGATACAAGTTGAAAGTGCTACTAGTGTGACACATAGCTGAAACAGCAGACTGAACACCAGATGCCTGGTCAAGTGGTGTGGGTGATCATGTCTCGGCACAACTCACCACAACACAAGATATAAAGGGAGGCAGTTCTAGTGTGGTATAAAGCTGAAACAACAGTCTGAACATCATATGCCTAGCCAAGTGGTGTGGGTGATCATGTAACTGCACAACTCACCACACACAAGTTATACAGGGAGGCAGTACTAGTGTGATAAAAAGCTGAAACAATGGTCTCATAATCAGATATCTCATCAAAGGGTGGGGTGATCATGTCTTGGCACCCAGGTCAAGGTCATTTTTTTTAAAATTCCGGCTCTGCCAGGGAGAGAACCCACGACCTTCTGATCCGCACGCGAGTCTAACCGCTATGTCACGGCGACTGCCTATAGATGTGCTACTTTAAAATGGCATCCGTCAGTCCCGGGGGACTGTGGAGATGTGCTGCTGGCTTTGGGTACAGCATCTGCAGTGACTGTAAAATCCGATGCGGGAATGGCAGCCTTTGCCACACAGGATACATACAAAAGCAGGTACTCCCTCGTTTTTAGGCAGTTTTACTCTCCGTTGTCTCCTCTCCACAGCTCGTTGTGTTCGGTTTCTTTCAAAATGTGACAGTCCGTCTTTCACTTTCTGTCTCCATAGTAGTCGATCTGCAGCTGATTTTTCCCATGTCTCTGTGCCTATGTTGGTATCTATTAGGTCACGTTTGCATACATCTTTATAGCGCAGCTTTGGCCTTCCTGTAGGTCTATTCCCCGTTACCAATTCACCCTATAAGAGATCTTATGGAATACGACCATCCTCCATGCGGGAGACATGTCCCAGCCAGCGCCGACGTCTTTGCTTCAGTATACAATACATTGATGGTATTTTTGCTCTTGTGAGCACACATTCTTTGGAGACAAGGTCTCGCCATAATATACCAAGGATGCATCTCAGACAGCGCATATGGAAGGTATTCAGTCTTTTTTCCTCACATCACATATCTGGTCAAAGGGTGAGGTGATCATGTTTCTGCACAACTCACAAAAACACTAATTATACAGGGATGTACTACTAGTGTAACATATAGATAAAAGTGGCCGGTTCTGCACCACTTGGTGGTGAACTGATTGGTTTTTTGTGAAGACCCTTTGAGAGCGAGTGAACAGTGTCAAGGATAATATAGATCATTATGGTCTGAGGAGAACGACACTGCGAGGAATTACAAGGGGATCTGGCTGATGCTCGACACTCAGGAGAAAGGCGAGACGGATATACAGACAGTTACTGGTGCCAGCGGAATTTTAACTCTTAGCTTGCTGCTAAAGATGGGGACGGAGCACTTATGGGGGTGAGGATGTGATGTTGGTTCTTAATTCAACATAGCTAAAACAGCAGTCTCAACATCAGACGCCTGGTCAAATGGTATGGGTGATCATGTCTCGGCACAACTCCCATTTTCTAGCACAGGGCTATTCAACTGGCGGCCCGCAGGGACCTAGCAAGAGGCCCACGGATCACTGCCAGTTGTATTGTATTAATGATTTTTCTACGCTAGGGCTTCAGCCTCTTATGACGCACACTTTGAATATTCTGGCTGCTGTGTTAACTTAGCTGAACGGCCCAGCTCTAGCACAATACCTCAACTGACATCAGCAGTGGTCACCTACAAAGAGCAGTGCTGCCAATGATGGGTTTTTACCCCCATATCTGGGTTTTTATTTGACGCCTTGGGTTCAAATTTGAAATCAGGGTCCAAAAAAATAAATATATCCTTATATAAAAGTGGGTGAATGTTTCGTTTTGTAACTGTAAAATTTGTACTTCTAGCAATCTAGGTATTTTTTTTGTTTGTTCTTTGCTTATGTA